TGGGGGGGGGGAAGGGGGGAAAGTATATGGCCTGAAAAAGATAAGAGGGGAAAGGACAACCATAGTGGCTGCTTTGAATGATGATTCCTGATTCACATGTGTAACAACTAAGGAGCTGGGGGGGGGGAAGAGGGAGAACAGCCTATGTGGGCCTTGGGAGGTCATTAGGTGAGCAAGTGGGAAGGCCTTGAAAAGGGAAGGAGAACCAGAGGGATAGTCATAACTTGAGGAAGGAGGTCTCGGTGAGGAATGTAGTGGCAGCTTATGCAGGATTACAGGTTTTGTGTAAGAGCAGTCGCGCAGGGTGGGGGACGAACCTGAAAGGGGGTTCTGGTCAGTTAGGAGGGAAGCCAGCAGAAGTAAAGGGTCAAGGGCATACAGTAAGAGAAGGCCTACAAGACGGAAGCCACACCGGGGAGAAGACAAGTTGTTGGACAGAATACAGTATGGGTTGATATCCTTTCATATTTTGGTAATTCCTGAGTTCCTGTAATGAAGAGGCAAGGATGGAAAAAGTTTGCACACCATAAGCTACAACCCCTTGCTTCCTTAGTTTTTTAAGCAGGGGAAGATCAGTAGATAGCTTGTTTTTGTTCTTTAGTAGCAGTTCCTCTCCTATAAATTATAACACTGATACTGTCTTCTAGCACATAAGGGCACAACCAGGTGGTGTTTTGAAAGAGAGCTGACTTCTTCCTGTTATTGGAAGCATTTTTTTAAAAAAATTGGATATTCCTGCAGCAAAATAATGGAGAATATGTGGCTTTCTAGATGTTGGACTCCAATTCCCATTATGCCTCACCATTGACTATTTGGTGAAAGAGCTACAGTCTAAGCAAACTCTAGCAGGCTGTATGGACCTCACTCCTACTGTATCTAAATACAGTACATGGGGATTTTTTTTTAATTCTGATCATTGGCTGTGGTGGAAGTACATATATAGATTGGAATCTGTGTTTCTGTTATTTGTTGGTTAGTTGTGCCCTTGGTCTCTTTTGCCTGTTCCAGGTTAGATGTGATTTAAATCATTTTTTAAAATTTAAACCATCACAAAATCTTATTTTTTTTAAATTTAAAGTGTGATTTAAATCAAATTAATTTAAATCACACTTTAAATTTTAAAAAATCAGATTTTGTGATGGTTTAAATAAAAAAGTCCATCTTTAATTTTTATCTACCTTGGCCTGTTCACAGTTACATAATGTAAAAGAGCTTGCCCACTCTGCGGGCAGATGTTTGTTGACAGTTTTGAATGCAAGTGCAGAACCAGGAGTTGGTTGCTTTTCCTGAATTAGTTTCATCAAAATAAGACATTAATTTTGTGCCAAAGTCATGGAAGATTATTGGACATGTTGCTGAAGGTTTCAGAGCCTAGTGTTTATTAAAGTGTTATTCTAGAGAGAACTAATGTTGCCATGCCATTGTTTTCTAAGACAGAGCTGAGAGGAGCTGGAGCTCTTTAGGCAGATAGTGCTCTCAGTGTTGTTCCACTGATACAGAGTTCTTTAGCATATATGCTAGAAGAAGAATTTAAGGATGTTTCTTTTTATTTATGTGATTTGCTGTCACTAATTAATGTGGGTACGTAAGGGAATAATGTGTTTTGTAATGGTGTCCATGCCCCTTTGCTGTGCTACAAATAGTAACTTGCAAACACTCTTGTTGTTGTGGGTTTTTCGGGCTCTTTGGCCGTGTTCTGAAGGTTGTTCTTCCTAACGTTTCACCAGTCTCTGTGGCCGGCGTCTTCAGAGGACAGCACTCATATTATATGGCAGATTACTTCAGAGTGCTGTCCTCTGAAGATGCCGGCCACAGAGACTGGCGAAACATTAGGAAGAACAACCTTCAGAACACGGCCAAAGAGCCCGAAAACCCCACAACAACCATTAGGTCCTGGCTGTGAAAGCCTTCACGAATACTCTTATTCTTGTTTACAGTTGTGTCATTTCCATGAGGAAAACTTAGCATCATGACTTAGGATACCAGTAGCTTTTAAATAGTCTCTGTTGGGGTTGCGTTTTACCCTCTCAGCTTCTGGATTCAACAAGCCTGATCAGAAAGCTTACAGGGTGAACATGTTTAAAATGTATGGAGCATTGTAAATATTGACACGCAATCATGCTTTTCTCTAGCTTGTGCTAGTTATCAGCAAATACCATAAAAACGCAAGAGGAGCCCTGCTTGATTAGGCCAACAGCCATTCAGATGATTATGGGAAATTCACAACCAGAACATAAGTGGACTAGAACCATCCCACTCATGTTCTTCAACAGACTGTTCACATGAATGCAGCTTTTGGGGCTGAAGGAAATACAAAGCCACCACAACCTCTTGCCAGCTAGCCTTGCTGGATCAGACCAAAGGCCTAGGTAGTCCTGGGTTTTACAGTGGCCAACTAGATGACTCTGATGGAACATCAACACAGAATATGGTGCAGGACCAAGAGGTTCCTGCCATAGCACAGTGTTTGATCTCTGGCAAAGTTGAAGTATTGGGTGCATAGTATCAGTTGTGGCGATTCTGATAAGGATAATGCCTTTAAGTGCCGTATTTTATATTTATGTGACTTGCTGCCACTAATTAATTAGATACCATGATAAGTCTCAGGTTGTGCAGTTGGGCCTGAAGATATGCCCCAGTTAGACACAATTATCTCTTAAAAAGCTACACAATCCGTATGTGAAAACAAATTCAATTCTAGCCAAGATATTCATTATGTTGGGAACTTTCATGGATTGTAATTTGCTTCCTCAGAAATGGCGTATAAGAGTTAGGTCAGAGGTTTATATACACAAAGTACACAGTAGTGAGAGGGGAACCAAATGAGATGGTAAAAGAGGGTGACATTAACGTTGGTAATGCACCTTCAGAATGAAAATGTCATAAGAACTACTGGATCGTTCAGTGGTTTCAATATCTGGCTGCGGAGCCAAATGTTGGAGTTCAATTCCTTACTGTCCCTCCTTGACCAGGAGCTCTACTTAAGAGATCCATAGGGTCTCTTCCAGCTTTGCAGTTCTGAAATGATTAGCATCACAGGTCATGAGCATTTAAAGTATTGATTATATAGACATACTGTTAACAGTTAATGGTTTAGCAACAACCTGGTGGTTTAGGTATCTGGCTGTGAAGTCAGAAGTTGGGAGTTTGATTCCCCACTGTGCCTGCAGGAAGAAGAGCCAGCCTGTATGATCTTGGGCAAGTTGCACAGTACCAGGGCGCACCCCCAGATGAAGGGGGATGGTAAACCACTTTTATGTATTCTCCTACCTTGGAAACCCTGGAAGAAGTCACCATAAATCAGAATTGACATGATGGCGCGCAACAGCAACTGACAGCAAGCTGAATGCTTTACCTATGAACAGGATGTTTATCTAATCAAGCATTTGAATGTTAATTACCCATGTTAATAATATAATTACCATGTTCAACGTTCAATTCCAGTGTAGTTGTCACCTGTTTTTTTACCATATCACTTGCTGTGTTCTACGTTTATAAACTTTTACTCTATATGTTTGCAAAAGTGGATTGTAATCATGAAATCATGATGAAGTAATCTCTTAATCTTTAAGGTGTCCCTCTTAATATGTTGAAATAAAAGGGCTACCTCTTGAAAACATCAGAGATTATATCTAAATTACAGTTATTATCAGTTTGATACCACTTTAGCTGCAGTGCTCCTGTGTGATCTTGGGATTTGTAGTTTGGTAAAGTCATTGTGACTTTTTGCTGTAGTTCAAGAAGGTGCCTGAGGGAACAACTACAAGTCCCAATGGGGTCAAATTGCTTACAGCTGTGTAGTGAAGATCTTGGAGTTTTAACTTACCTCCCTTTTGCCACAAGCCAAAACTATTTCCAAACCATCAGGCATCTGCTGAAATACTACTTGAAGCTAGTGGGGAAGGTGTCCCTCCTACACTTTGGTAGATCTCTTCCATTTGGAGCAGCCTTTCCAAATACAGTGGCTGCCAGATGGCTTGGATAACTATCCCTGCCTCTATCATCTTGTTGACTATTGGCCATGCTGTTTGGGGCAGATGGAACTGAAACACCCAAGAGAGCACAATACTGGAGGTGTCTCTGCTTCAAATCTAGCACTTTTTGGTAACTGAGAGAAGATTTCCACACCTTAATTTCCCTCTTCCTGTATGTATACATGCATGCATGTATTTATTTAAAATATTTTTACCCCATCTTTCTCCTTAAAAGTAACCCAAGGTAGCTTACATCATTAAAAGACAACATTTAAAGCTAGAAACAGTAAGTAATGTATTTGTTGTTGTTTAGTACAATGGCTAAAAAGGATTTAAAAAATGCCACACTAAAAGATGGTAAACAAAAGCAACATCAAAAACATTTGAAGCAGTAAGGCACAGCAATCAATTAAAAAACCCCACTTGGGCAGTCAGTAAGTGAAGGAAAGCTTTCCTGAAGAGAAAAGTCTTTGATTGCTGCTGGAAGGACAGCAAAGATGCGGCAAACCTGGACTGCTGTGGGTGGGAGTTCCAAAGTCTAGGAGCAGCAACATCAAAGGCCCTCTCCTGTAACCCATCAGACACACCTGTGAAGGTGGCGAAACTGAGAGAAACGCTTCCCCTGCTTAACACCAGGGGAGGCTCATAAAGGGAGATGCAAAGCTTGGGTCCAAGCTATTTAGAGCTTTATAGCTTAGAATCAGCACTTTGAATTGTGAATTGAGTCTGACAGTATCTGGAGGGAAGATGCCCCTTCCTCTTCTCCAAACTTTAGACATAGAAGGGTTTGAATTCTACCAGAACAGCTTTGCTAAATTCTTAAAGGGCTGCAGGAATCTCTCATTGGGTCATATGCTGTTCTGCTGTCATGGGCAACATATCTTGCCTCCCTGTTCCTCCTAATAATAAAATGAAGACCCTTGTAATGCAGGATGATTGTGAAAAAGATTGGCAAGAACATCATGTTCTGTTCCTAGTATCTATAGGTGCCTATCTTTGGAGAAGCCTGGGACAGCTATCAGAGTTGTGCTGATCTTATGTTTGTAAAGGTAGCATTTTACTGTAGATTTTAAATTGAAGGATGCTGAGTTTTGGAGCCTGTTTAACTTAAAAACTGCATTAAAATGTAGAAAGCAAATATAAGGAAATATTATAAGGAAGTAATAGATAATAAACTGAATGTGGATTTTCAGAGGGGTAATTCCATGTGTTTTTACCTGAAAGCTCTGAATTGCTGTTAATCATCATCATCATCATGTGTAGGCAAGTCAATTTTGAATTACAGCGATCCTTTGCAGGATTTTCTAGATAGAGAATACTCAGAAGTGGACTACCCTTCCCTTCTTCTGTGAGTGCTTTGGGACTGTGCAGCTTGCCCCCAAGGCTACACAGGCTGTCTCTTGGGAGGCATAGTAGGGAATCGAACTCTCAACCTCTGACTCCAGAGACAGACACTCAAGACACTAGATGGTGTTTGCTTAGAGGGTTGGTGGCTAACAACTTCACAATGTTTATGCCTTTCACTGTTTCTGTTTGTTGTGCCAGTGTGTTGAGTTTGAGCCACAAAAGGCAGCAGCCTGAGATTTCATCACCAGTGCCAAGGTCCAGTGAAGTTTTTTCAGAGCTGTGAGGCATAGTTTGGAAAATCTGTGTGAGGAAGGGGAGCGATATGAAACTTGGCCCCTCAACCAATTAACGGAGGAGAAGAAATGGATGGGCTTTCTGGGGCTCATTCTTCAGAGAGCCATGTGGAGTATTACTGTCCCAGATTAAAAGCACCTGGTTTCACCAGTGGTGCCCTGGATTTCCTCTGCTTTAACTTTCTTACATAATAGTCCTCTTCACAATCACTGCTTGGCAGTGCTTCAGAATAAATGTCCCAGGCAGGACAACTGTTTACTCTAAGTGCTCATACTTTCTGACGTCTGCATCTCCTTCCATAAACTGCCATCCTCTCACCCATTGAATGGGCAATCCTTCCGGGGTTAAGTTCCATGTGATAGCTTGACTCCCGACTGTTTTGCAGTCTCTTGGGGGCTCCTTCTGCTCTCTCCATCCTTCTATCTTGCCCTGGAACCTTGATTTTTAAAAAAGAAGAGAAGAGCACCTGTGTAGTTTTGCTCCTGTTCATGGATCATATGAATCGCCACGAGAGACAGGTGGAACTGGCATGATAATGGCATATTTATTATTTTCCATCAATTTTAGATAAAGGTTGACCAAAAGGTAGCCTGAGGGCTTCATAGGACCTTTGGCTGCCACCTGTGCAGCCCCCTTAAGCTGTTGAGAGACCATTTGCTTTTCCCCACAGCTGGCTGTGGTGGTGGGAAAGAAGAACTCTTGTTTCCTGGTTTTCAAGATTGCTAGGGGATGATTTTAAAAAGGATATCAGTGATGACCGCTGGCTTGTATGTGGTGTCTCTGTGCCTGCCTGCATCTGTGTATGGGTACTTATGCATTGCATCTCTGCATCTCTCAATACCAAATGCAGCCCTCAGGGCAGAGAGTGGTGTGCGCCCCCAATTTTAAGGAGGCCCCAGTGCAACAAAGTGTTTCTCAACAGAAACAGAGCACAGTGAGCCTCGGGTGGGGATGGCAGTGATTCCCTTAATTCATTACAGGGAACAGGAAATATGCAGGCCCTTTTGTTTGATTTCCTGATCAGTATGAGATTGTGATTGGTCTAGACAGGGGACTTAACCCCCCCCCGCCCCCGCCTTTTCCCTCTCCTCGGGGAAACTGAATTCCTCCTTCCCTGGCGAGAGTTTCTGCTCGGTGATCTGAGCAGGATTGACAGGGCAGCTCAGCTGACCTAGTGGGAGGGTTTAATGGACTAAGACTTATGCAAGTCTCAGCCAGCCACGGGATGGGGACCAGGGAGGAGACGGATACTGGCTGTGGTGGAAGAAAGCCCAGAAGCCCTGATGTAACCTGTCCCACGTTTTCTGCCTTGACCTTTAGAGCAAGCTGTAGGGGAGGAAATTGCTGCCTACTAATTAATGGGAGTGTCTGAAATATTTCCGGTCAGGGAGCAGAGATGGGACGTAAGCTTTCTCTCTCAGTGCTCAAAAGCAAGATGAGTGGAGAGTTGAGGGTGAAGCCAGAGGTTGGGAATCTGATTCCCCGCTCTGCCTCCTGAAAGGGGCTGGACTTGATCTGTAGGGTCCCTTCCAGATCTGTAGTTCTCAGATGATGGTGATGATTTTATATGTAAATTCAAAGGCTCACCTGTCATTTTCTTCATGTCCTGATTAAGGCTGGACACAGTTTCTCAGAGAAGCTCTGCTGAAACAGTCAAGAGTTCTCGGTGGGGGTGGTGGGGGTGCAAGAGGCATCAGATCTGCTTGCCTTGCTCTCTGCTGCCATTAGTGTTGTCCAAAGCATAGCACTTGAGGCCTTGCTTCATAGCCTGGGCTGTCTGGAGTGAGCTGCTGAGGAGCCCCCATATGCTTCTTCACACTCTAGATCAAACAAGCCAGCAATCCAGCTACCGTGGTGTTCCCAACTGCTAGGGTAAAATAGTTGCATGAAAAGTGCAAATGATGTCTATATGTTATGTTCCTTGTATCTGACCTGGCCAGGAGGCTTGGGCCACAACAAAAACAAAAAGAACAAAAGCCCTGCTTGTTAGTTTTTATAATCATTTTGCAATTACAATGGTGCCTTGCACAACGAGTGCACCATAGAACGACGAATCCGCACAACGGGGCCGTTCTAGCGGTCGCAAATGTGATCGCACACCAACGGCCCCTGTGGCTCAAAATCGCAGAGCGAAGGTCGGTAAGCTGTTCACTTACTGACCTTCGCTTTGCGCCTTGCCGATCAGCTGTTTGGCGGCTTCAAAATGGCCGCTGGAAGCCCCAAAATGGCCGCACGTACCGTTTTCGCGCCCTCGTTAAGCGAGGGGAGGGCACGAAAATGGCTGCCGGCCATCGGAGAAACATCACTGTACGGTGAGTAAAGCTGCTATTGGAACGCATTAAACTAAGTTTAATGCGTTCCATTGGCTTTTTCTGATCCGTACAGCGATGTTTTCACACAGCGAGGGTTAATCCGGAACGGATTAACCTCGCTGTGCGAGGCACCACTGTACTTTGATGCTGGGGAGTGGCAGATTGGGAGAGATAAGGTGGTAATTGGAAGAGATATTCCAGGGCCTTTATCTCAACTCACAGGCAGACAGGAATGATAGACCCCGGTACTTGTTCATTTCTTTAATTTCCTTTTATAGTCAGCATTGCAGAATTTTTTTTACTGTGGAGAAAACTGCAAAGGGTAGTGATTTGGTTTGGGGTGGGATTATGGAGAAACAGTGCGGCTAGTGTGACCCTGCGGGTGGCCTCATGAAAGCTAAAATGACAAAAAAAAGTCTTGTAGCACCTTTGAGACTAACAAGACTTTCCCCTCACCCCCATTGCTCTTACACTGCCATTCTCATCACCTCTCACAATTGGCTGTACTTAGCTAGAGCTGATGGGATTGGCAGTCCAGCAATATTTGGAGGGCCACATGTTCCCAATTTCTGAACTATTCAACAGTCTACACTGAATGATTGTTAAATGGTGAGGTCCATTCCACAGGTTGGAAAACAAATAGTCAGCTATTCTTACAAATGATTCTCTGATCTGGCTGTGTGCACAGGAGTGAGCTTGCGAGCCTTAAGGTAAACAGGTGACTTTTGTCCTTGGGAATTGGTTGTACCAGAGTTAAAACTTAAGAACTGTAGGAACCACAGACTGCATGTCAAGATGTTTGCATTTTCCAGTGTATTCGTGTATTCCTATGTATACAGCTCAGATCCTTTCCTGCAGGACTCGGTGAGTAGAATTTCAGGCGTGCGCTCCTTGTTCTGCTTCTAGCTTGGCAATAAGTCTCGCGGAGCAGTTTCCTTTGGAACCAGTCTCTTAGGAAATGTAATGAACTGGCGATTATACCTTGCAGTTTCAGGTATATGCCATCCTGTGGGCTTCTGATGATCCGAGCCCCCCATGCAGCCAGCAGTCTTGACCTGGATCTGAGCACTCAGCACAGCCGGACCTTCATCAATTTCACAGCGCCTTTCACCAATAAACGAAAAGAATATTCTGAGAGGAGGATAATCGGGTGAGCAGAGGATGGGTGAGGTTGTGATCAAAGGGAAACTGCATCCTGGGCTTGATCACTCTATAGGACTGTGTGTTTTTGAGCAACTCATGTATGTTCCTAATGACAGTTACCTGGAAGGAAGTTTTTTTTTAGGTGAGTCTATTTAGCATCAAGGTGTTAGTTGCACTGCATCCCTGTTATCTTCTGTGAGAGCACTTTACTGCTCTTTTGGGCACTGAAGGATGTGGGAGATGATACTCCTGTGAAAGTTCTCTGAGCATGATTGTTTAGAATGTGACAAAGAGAGAGTTCCCAGTATCCTGTGATGCATATCCATGCACGCTTTTGTGTAGCCATGCCATGTTTGAATGCCATCTTGTCAGTTAATGCCTTGGACCGTTTAATTAGCTAATGACTTATTTCTCTTGGGTGATGTTAACAACACCCCTGTTGTCATTAAACGGCTGATGTTGCATTGCCTCTTGAGGGGCTCCCAAAATTCATTCACTCTCTCTCTACTCAACAGTTTCTCCATGCAGGAAATGTACGCAGTCGTGTCCAATGTAGATGAATACAAGGAATTTGTTCCCTGGTGCAAGAAATCGGTTGTGGTGTCTAAGCGCGCAGGCCATGCAAAGGCCCAGCTGGAAGTTGGATTCCCTCCAGTGTTGGAACGCTACACATCAATTTTGACACTAGTACGGCCGCATCTGGTGAAGGCGAGTTTTCTACCTCATCGTTGTCATCCTGACTGCAATCTTCTCATCGGGGAGGATTGTTTGGCATTAAATAGAAAAGCAAATAGACGGATTTGCCGCAGGATTGACCATGTGTCCCCAGTACCTCAGGCAACCTGGCATGCTAGAGCTACTGTCTTCAAAAGCTCACCTCGTCACAAGTTGGAAGGTGGCTGTGTTTCAGCCAGAAAGGCACAGGTGCTTCTGGCTTGGAAGACAGTGTTGTGAGCCCTTTGAGATGTGGCAGCAGTGCCGAAGCTGCATGTGGGAGTTGGGAAATGGGGAGGGGAAAGGGGAAGGTGACACGGACATGCCAGATCTTCACGGTAGTCATGGGCTTGGGGAGCCGAAGCCTTCTCTCACTTTGCCTCTGTCAATTTCCCCTCCAGGCTATCTGCACTGATGGGAAGCTTTTCAACCATCTAGAGACAAACTGGCGTTTCAGCCCTGGCATTCCAGGCTATCCTCGCACGTGCACTGTGGATTTCTCAGTAAGTCCCGTCTGAGCTAAAAATGTTCCCAGCTTGCTCAGCTCTTCTTGCGTAAAAGAGTGATTAGGCTGTTCCCTTCAGACAGGACCAGGAAGGGTGCCTGCCTATAACAGAAGCCCAGAATGTATTCCCATTGCTTTGGAAAATGTTCCTCTTTTTTTTTTAAATTTCCGAAAGCCAGCATGGCTACCGGTGGGGAATTCTGGGATTGTTGTTCAAAACTAGTATGTCCAAGCTCCACTTTCTTGTTGTGCAGTAAAAGATAACCTCCCCCCCCCGGGCTTTAATCAGATGAGGCAGCAAATATTTTTCCTCATCTGCTCAAGCTGCCCAATAAATGTGAGTTCACACCGGAGGGCAGGGCTCAGCTTGTGAGTGTTGACTTCTTGGCTAGGCTGCACTGTTGTGACCTTGAGTAAGTCTGATTCCTCAAGTATGCCCTTCTGTGCAGGGTGTGGATATACACTTGCCGTGTGACACTTGGCCTCTTCCTTTCCCTTCCGCCTTACAGTGTAAATCTTGAGTAGTTCACAAGACAAAGCTGGGCGTGATATTTCTTTTTCCCCTCTTTGTTCAACTCTTAGCAATCCCATTTGCTGTGATAGTTTGCCATGGGGTTCTTCATTTAGGCTGGTTTTTAACACTTAGCCTGATCATGAGGCAGGTCAGAGTGCTTGCCTGAAATAACGCATGGGAAAGAGTGTAGATTTCCCCCTGCCACAGAGGTTTCTTCAATGTGTTCTGTGAATTGGGTGAAAGGCTCAGGAATGGTGCTTCTGTCCTGGGGCAACCAAGAACTATCTTGAGGAAGCTATCCAGGAACTTAGAGAGAAGGAAACTTGCTATCTCTATTCTCTCTCTCCTGTTTGACTGCCTTCTGCGGCTGCCGCCTCCTGCCTGGGGCAAGGTTGATGCATTCCAGAGAGACGGGCCCAATACCTAGGATGTGGCAATGTCACACAACATGATACTGCCCTTGAAAACTTCCTCTAGGATTCTGATGGTGCCTTAAAGACCAGGTTGGGGAATATGTGACCTTCCCGGTGTGTTTTTTTAACTACATTTCCCATCAGCCTGGGCAGTAGAACAAGTAGTGAGGTGTGCCATGAGTTGCAGTCCAACTACACCCAAAAGGCATCACTTTCCCCACCCCAGTGGAGACTCTCAATCAGTAGAAGGAATGGAGGGAGTGGAAGAGCATCTAGCATGAGCACTGAACTTTTGCCTAAAGCAGCAATGAGGCAAAAGCTGCTCCAGTTGCTGGAGATCTATTTTGTGGTCCGAGGAATGCTTTGCTGGAGCATTTTTCATAAGAACTTTAACATAAGCCTTGCTCTTGCTAATACATTGATTTAATGCGGGGTAAAGAGAGGCCTCTTAGCTTTGTCCGTTGTGTTTGGGGAGTTGAAAATGCCTAGTAAATGTCAGCCACGGAGCATGTTTTTATTCCAGACTGTCCAGTAAGCCTCTTTGACCCAGAACACAAGGGACTAAAAAGTTTCAAGGTGTGACAGTATAACATTTCCCCCTGTCTCTCACTGGAGGGAGCCTTGGCTGGCCAGCTTTCTGCCCTGTTTCTGAGGGCTGGAACTGCCCCCTCCCTCCCTCCCTCCCTCTCACTCTTCTTTTCTTTTTCTCCCCCCCTCCCCCAGATTTCCTTCGAGTTCCGCTCCTTGCTGCACTCGCAACTGGCGACAATGTTCTTCGACGAGGTGGTCAAGCAGATGGTGGCAGCCTTTGAGCGCCAGGCAACCAAGACCTTCGGTCCTGAGACCCGCATCCCCCGAGAGCTCATGTTCCATGAGATCCACCAGACGTGAAGGCCGCCCTGCTGTTTCGGGGAGTTGTGCGGACACTTGGCAATGGGGGAGGGGTTGCAATCAGGGCATCCCCAGCCTGCCTGTTTTTAGTCTATTTATTTGTTTTCTCTTGATATCCTGTCTAATTTATCCACTGGGCCTGGTGTCATGAAAGAGACTCGATCCTAAGGAGAAAGGGCCAGTCTATCATGTCCAGAGCAACCTCTGAGCCTGGTCTCTTGCCTGGCTATGCTCTTTTGATGCTGGGGCGTACTTATATAGGTATATAGATATATATATAGAAAAAGAGAGGTTGGGGGGGGGGAGAGATTTTGTAGCACACGTTTATTTGAGGTTTCCCCTCTAACACCCCTTTTAAAATCGGTTATCTGAAGAGTGTCCCTCATTTCACCCTCCACTTGTTGTCATCTGCTCATCTGGTTGCCTTAGGTTGCAGTCAGTGCCAATCCTTGTTTCTCGGCAGAAGCTCACAGGTGTCATGTGATTCTGTTTCAGTGCCTAACATAGGGCCTGTTAGAAAATGTGTGCCTCTTAAATCATGTGGTTATAAAAAAAAAAAAACCAAACCAACTTCCAGCCCCTGACTCAGACTGCCTCTTAGGAACAGAAAGGAGAGTCAGATGCAGAGAGGTTGGGCCTGTTTCCTGGTGGCAGCAGGGTTTACAGTACCCTGCCAACTTCACCTTGCCATGGAAGACACAGAGCCAAGCAGAGGATGAGCAAAGGGAGGCCGGGTGTCTCATGTCTGTTACAGACAGGAGTGGGGGGCTGAAAGAGGCCTAGCCCCTGTGCCGCAGCATCAGGCTTGGGCTCTTCTTTCTCACCCAAAGAGTGTGTTAGGGTTTGGTCGCAGTTAGCCGGCATGAGGTGGCTGGCACCATCCACCCTGTGATTGCCTTTTGGCTGATAGTCAGGTGCCACAGGGCATTGGTGCTTGGAGGAAAGATGTGTGCCAAATCAAGGTTAAGGGAAAGCACCTTAGAGGCTGGGCTGTTCTAAAAATGAGATATTAGATGTCCCAGATGGGTGTTTAGAGTGGGTCTGGGAACATTTCCTGTTGGCCTGCTGCCAGAGCAGTCTATACAGCTCCAGTTGCTATAGTCTCCTGGTTCATTCATATCTCAAGTTCCAAACTCTCAAATCTCACCTGGAACTCCCAACAACAGGGGTCTTAGTTGTGCTGTTTTGGTAAATTTAGTCAAGACAGTGAGACCATTGTGTGAGCTAGCCTCACATCTTCCATGTTGCCAGCCTTGCGGTTGCTCACTGCTGCATTTTAAGGTGGACAGAGGGGAAGGAGGGTGACTCCTCTGCAGGCAGGATTCCATCCTCCCTAGGAACATGATTCCTCGCCCTCCTGCAACAGGAGAGAGGCCGTTCCTTCTGAAATTCCTTGAGGTGCAGCTCCCTACATGGGACTGCTGAAGGGGAGCAATGGTGAACCTCCTCTTTCCAGTCAGCCAGTAGGAAGTAGTTTAGCTGGAAGCTGTGGAACCCAGCTTCAGTTCAGCTTGGCCATCCTGAAAGCTGGGTGATGGAGCCATTTTGCCCATTGCTGTGCCCAATCTCCTGTATTCCCCCCACCTCCCTATCAGACACCTTTTTCTATTGCCTCTTTTATTACCACTTAGTACCCTCTTCCTAGTTAGTAAAGGGAATTTTTCCAATGTTAAGATGCACATTTTGCACTAACTGTGCGCACACAAGAGTGCTGGGATTGGGGAGCGAACGGGCGAAATGGCCCTTAAGAGGGACTGAACCAGCCCCTTCACTTGGCACTCAGAGCCCGAGAAGAGCCCTTTTCTGGGCTGTAACTTGCAGAATCCCATTGCCAACAAAGTGCGGCTGTTCTGGGAGATAAGTCTGAACGCCCCATGTCCCCCTTCCCCAGGTGCTGTATCCTAAAGCACTGTATCAAGGGCTGGTCCATGCTGTGTGGGCATGGAGCATTTTGGATGTTATGATGCCACTTTTGGATTTGATTGCTTGTTTGTTTGGGCTGGAGGAATATACCTGCGGTCCAGATTGTGTGGAGAGGTAATGTTGGGCAAGTGTGCGAGAGTGAGTATGATGCCTATTAAGTTTTCATAGTTTCCCAAGGACGTGTGATTCCTGCTCAATATTGCTGAATTGGAGGGGGGCGGTTTCTTGAGAGATGGGGTAGGTATGTTACTACCAAATGAAAAATAAATAAACATTGAGACGGGGGAACAGAAGTAGAGGGCTGCTTTTCAAGACCCTGCAGTTTTGAGCTGCTGTCCAGTTGGGCAACCATCCCACCAACTCCAGTGTAGTCCTGCTATGCTGCAAAACCTCTCTTTTGGGGCGAGATGAGGAATGTGTTGGAAGGCGGTGGGGGGGGGCAGCTCTCTTGGCAGAGTGGCTCTACAAGTGCCACTAAAGCTATCATTTGGAGAATTTTCCACTTTAGAGCCAGACTTGCCGCAGGTTACAGATTGGAGGTGGTCAAGTTTGGGAGGTAGCAGAGTCTGGAAATTTTACTTCTTGGGCTACACCTATCAGAATTGTCTGGCCGTCATGGCTGCTGGCTGTGCTGTCATGTGATTCCACCAGCTGTAGTGCAAGAAAGTGGCTTATCCAAGCTCTTGAGTGGAGGGCAGGCCACATCAAAGCTAGTGAAAAGATCACCCTCCTCAGAAAGCTGTGTCATGAACTAGGGTGTGCTTATTGCAGCATAGATGTGTCGGCTGTTTTCATTGGTCACAGTCATGTGCTCGGCTTTCTTGCCAAGAGTTTTAGATGTACCTGCTCGTCCTGTGCCCATCCCATAATTTGTGGTTTTTCCAGCTGGTGCCGGAGCTGTGGAACAACTGCTTACCTGCTTTTTGAGCCAGCCAGCTGGCTTTGAGGCAATTCCCAGGAGTCAGTTGACCACTGCTTCCCCCTTAAATTTTGTGTGCCTGCTCTCTCAGTGCGAGGGAGCATTGTGTTGGTGTCATGTGTAGGCATTTGACCCTATAGCTGGTGCCCTTGGCTGAGATGTTTCCTCCTCCTTTCCTGTTGTCCCCCCTTCTTTCATTTTTACATGTGCTCTCCCTGCTCTCAAATGTAACTTAACTGACATGAGGTGGCATGACTCCAAAGAACATCCTTTTGCCCTTTGGGGCTATTGAAACTGTTGACTCGCTCTTTATCCCGGTTCTTGCACTCACTCTGTACACAAGCGAAATTGGCTTTTTGTTGGAGAATGCACCTGGTGATAGTCTCCTCCTAAGGTAAGGGTTGGAGTGTTCAGGTTGCTTGTCTGAGCAAGCCCTTTCTCTCTCTCCTTCCTTCCTTCCTTCCAGCAGAAATCTTTGCAGGAGACTCACTGTAGAAGTTCCTGGTACTGTGGCAAATGTCACTCATGGTGATTGCCTTATATCCCACTCTGCCAGGCGCGCGCTCTTTGTTTTCTTGTGAAAATCTGCAACACGAGAACTTTTCCCTCCTGCTTCATTGTCCTTGTGCTCTGAAGTGTGCATCAGACCCCAGAGATCTGTAGGATATTCTCCCAGCCAAACCTTGGGGGGGGTGGGGGGCTTTAATCAAGAAGTCAAAGTCCTGAGATGTTTTCATGTTCTTACAGGTAATGAATTCAGACTCTAGCAGCCATTTTTGTTCTGTAAACACAGGGTGAATTAGTGGGTACAGGGTTAAACTGTGTGCATATGGGCAGGGGGGGGGAAGGGGAGAGGCTACAAGGGATTTTGGGTATGGCAGTTTTTGGTGAGAGGCTTGCTGTTCAGAGACTAAAGGAAAGAGACTACCACACCTGCAATCTCTTGCAATGTCCACAGAGCTTAGCCCTGCCCACCCATTTCCCCTGCCTTCCCTCCACAGGATGAAAATGGGGCTGGAGCCTTAACTGGATACAACTTTGAAACACCTGTCGGGAATTTGGTTTCACAATAAAAGCCCCAAAAAGTTTGGCTAGGGGATTCGTGCAGATTTTGAGGGCTGTAGTCCACAAATTCTGAAAATCTCATCATGCCTACCTTGTGTAGTAGACAATGTGGTGTGGCTGGGATTGGCAGAGACACACAGTTTTCCCCATCCATGTGTGTGTGGGGGAAATGACCCATTGATAGCACCTCACTGTGTGACAACTGAGCCAGTTCTGGGTCCCTTCCTTCCCACCATTCCTGCAAAACATGAAACAAACATGAGTCATAACCCATATGTTTATAGAAGGCTCTTTTACATGGAAGGAGAATTTGAGTAGGCCTGGGGAGGGAGCCCCAGCTTCAAGCCTGACCATTGTAGGCCCTTTGGGATCAAGGCACCCTCTCTCAGAGCAGCTACAAAGAGAAATGAAAGAAGCATTTTAAAAGTTGGTAGACTAAAGTATGTTACCCACACAACACGAGCAGATTTTGGTTCTACTGTTGTAGTACCAGAAGCAATTGTCTGTTTTCTCTAATAGCTTAAAGGATGCAGGCTCTTCCCCTCTCTTATAGTTTGGGAACACGTCTTCTGTCTCTGATGTCTGCTGACCTAACCAAGGACGGTTGCAGTCTTCCTTCATACTTGCTCAGGAGCCAGTTCCATTGAACCCGATTAGATTTACTTCAGATATGCTTCTGGTTGTGTCCTTGAGGTGAATTTACCAGCTCGGTGCCAGAGTCGGGGGAATGTAAGAGTGTTGTTTGAGCACCCAGGGTGTAGGGTTGCTTGTAAGGACTTTTGTCTGCAGTAGAGTCTTTCCCTTGTGGCCAGGTGAGAGGTGTACTGGCATCCTGGTCTTCCCCAAGAATGCTCAAAGCAATACCATACCAGTGCAGAGTTCAGTTTCTGGGAAACCTCAGCTTCTTCCCTCTTTAAAAAAAGTTTCTAGTTACTGTGGGTTACATAGAAATGCTTAGGTGAACCATTTCAGAAGCCATCAGGGTGTCTCTTGTTAGCAGTGGGGAATCGCGCACTTCAGTGTTGTACACTTGGCTGTGACACTGAAAGAAGTATGTAAAAAGAAAAGAAAAACTGCAGAGTGAGTTATGCACAGCTCCAGAATTGTGCTTCTCCTGGCAAAAAAAAAAGGACTCAGTCTTTCCCCCCCCTTTTCTGAGTGATCATAGACAGCAGCTCCTCCGCACCCTGGAGCTTCATATCTCGGCTGTTTCTCACACTGCACCCAGCTGCACTCTGCAAAATTGGTTGCTCCAGGGCCCAAAATGACTTTCAGTACAGACAATGCTGATCACTGTAGACTCCTTTGGGACAGAAAATTGCCCTGAAAGATTGCTGGTTATTCTTCCATTTCCAAGCCATTTATTTAAGAACTCTTTTCTGTTTCTTGCTTCCTGACCCTGCCATTCCCTATAGTTGAGCACTCTACTACAGCTGCTGCAACCAACTTGCTTCTTTAAATGGAAAGCAGAGTGCTCCTTTTAGGTCTGGTGACTGCTTTCAAGGGACACCCATTATCAAAAAGGGTCTGGCTTGTAGGCAGTGATTTGACAGGAAAGGACAAATTCCAGCCTCTCTCCAGTATTACACAGGAAATTCTGGCTCTCAGAAGGAATAATAACTTAGCTTCGTTGAGATTGTACAGCAGACCAAAAGACAACTTACTAGCTCTGCTGTTACTGTGGATTATAGGAAATGAACCTTCAGTCGTGGATTGTGCTTTCGGTAGCTCACACTCAAACCTGTTTTAAGTTTTGGAGGCTACAGAAAATACAATTTGTGACTGAAGGATCCAGATTACTATAATTTAATAGAGAACTCTTAAGTTTAAAAACCATTCATGGTGCTGATCTTAGCTGCGCTTATGTTCCCCTAAGCAGTGGAAACATAAGGCCTAGCTTCAGTTGCAGTAGAACCCATAACTGACACGGGCATAGAGTCTTATGTGCCCAGTTTAAGGGCTCCCTTTAAAACCTTACCTTGTAAGTTTCAAGTCCCTTTCAAACCTTGCACAGCCATATGTTCAGATGAGATCTGCCTCGGTGGGACTTGTGCTGGATCTTTGGAATGGCCTCTCTACATGTAGAGTTAGAGGTGCTTTGTTTATTTCCTTGTGCTGAGTATCTTTCATCCTCTCCTTTGTCCTTCCAGATGTTTTGGATTTCAGTTCCCCAAATCTGACCTGTGAGTTGAAGTCCAAAACACTGGGAGGGATAAAGTTTTGAGGACAACTGCTTTAAATGGCAGTTGATTGTTAATATCCCCCCCACCCCAGACCTATTATTGAATGAGGCATAAAACATCTGGTCTTGTCAGTCACCATGGGCACAACAGAGCTTTGGGGAATGTTGTAGTGCCTTCTGCTTTTAGCCTATGTGTGCATGTATGTATCGGCCTTTTGACCCTCATGCCCTCATGCTTCTTCGCCTGGGATGTGCTACCTCAGCTTGTAAAAAAGGAGATGATTCCAGAGCAAAGTTAGAAGACTAGATGATTATCATGCGCCATAGAAGGAAATTTTTAATTCCACCCCCCTTTTCCTTTAACTGTGAATTTTAGTTGATAATTGAAAAAAAAATCTGTATGAGAATGTTCAAACACCAAACCAATCCCAAGAGCATTTTGTAGACCAATTAAAAAAACTGTTTGCAAAAGGGTATGGGGTGACTAACTTTTCTTTCGATGATCAGCAGTGAGGCTGGAAATACACTGTGGACCACAACTGTGGGGTGCATGGGCTTCATAGGCACTGGGGAAATGCCTGAGAGTCTTCATTATACATACAGTGAGGACAGTAAAGCACTTTCTACCTTCATTTGGAATACGTGTGCACAGCTGAATTTTTTTTATACAATGAGTATTTGTTAGCTGGCTAGAGAGCTCAGTGAAATAGCTGATCTATCTGCAGAGCCAGAAGTTGGGAATTCAACACACCATTGTGCCTCTCAGGAGAAGAGCCAGCCTGTGTAGCCTCGGGCAAGCTACAGTCCCAGAGTGCCCCCAGAAGAAGGGAATGGTAAACCATGTCTGAATGTTGTGTTGCCTTGAAGCAGCTGTCATACGATAGCATGAACTTGGTGGCAAGACACTTGGCTAGATAGTTCAATGAGTTGAGTAGTTGGCTGCAGAACCAGAGGCTGGGAGTTCCAATTGTTCATGGTAACTCTCAAAAGAAAAGCCTGCCCATGTAGCCCTGGGCAAGCTGCAGAGCCCACAGAAGAAGGGAATGGCAAGCCACTTCCGCGTACTCTCTAACTAGAAAACACTGATCACCTTAAATTGGCGTGATCACAACCACAACTTAATGGCGTGTGGTTGTTATTTATTAATCATCATACCTGGGCTCCTACTTGCATCTTAAATGTAACACATCCTCCTTGGCAACTGCAGTCAGCTCATAAGTAATGTACTATACATGGTATAGTGTGCAAGGTGAGCAGAAAACCTTGTCTGAATGACGTTGTGCTCTGCTTTGCAGTGGAGGAGGTAGGTAGCCGTGTGGAGAAGAACAAACTAAGCATTTTTATGTAGAAAGAGAAGTAGCAGTAAAATTACGTGGGATTCACACTAGGATCCAAGTTGAGTCCCAGGTTTGGAAAATCCAGAGACCACAACTCCAATTATTTGCTGTGTCTTTCCCAAACAAATCTAAAATTTAAAGTGAAACCTGAAGAGGCACTAATTTCTTAAGACTGCAGCTTGATAGGGCTTATATAAACAGAAAGGCCATCAGCCCGTTCACAAAGCATTTTGACTCGTGCTGTCCGACTGACCAGGTTACTCCTTTCTGTTTAATCAAACCCCAGCATCCTTGAGACAGAAAGCTGGCTCTAGCAGGAGAGTTCTGCACAAAACATTTTGGAGGAACTCACAGCAAGACCTAAACAGCTAATTCATAAAACATATACCGTAGTCTTTCATGTCAAACGATCATTTTAAAATGCTTTCCAATCTGAAAGAGCAGGGCTGGGGTGCCTGTTAACTTGAGAGAACTGTGCCCATGAAGTAGAAGTATTCAAAGGAATAATACTCCCTTTTTTCTGTGTGTACCTTCTGATGTTATTCTCAGGTGAAACTAACATTGCAGTGTTGTTCGGGGAAGCGAGGCCACGTGCTGTCAAGTTCTTGGCACAACCACAAGGGAAGTGGCTATTTATAGAAGCCTTCTGGGAACATCATTCCAGGAGAGCTTAGGCCAGCCGGCCTACAGCAGGTGCTGGTTTCTTTCCAGCCTGTGCAATGCCCTTCAAGGCCAAGGAAGAGGTTCACCCAAGATCATCTGGGGTCACGGCTGGGCTTAGGTCCTGGATTTCAAAATTCTGGCTTGCGGCAAAGAGAATCTGCTCCTGCACATCTCTTAAGTTAATTGTGTCTTGAGAAATATGGATTCATGATCACACGGGACCTGTCGATTATCCAGTTCACTTTTTGTCTTTTATGCCTGTGAAAAAACGGGCTACGAATAAACGAAAGTGGGCCTAGGTCAGTAACTGAGCACATGCTCCGAAGTCAGATCAGGCAGGCAGTAATGTCTGTTTGAAAGCTTAAGACTACCAATCATTGCAGACAATGCATAAGTAAACAAGAGCTAGCAAGCATGTTTTTTTTAAAAAATGAAAGGTGGTTCAAAAATGTGCCCTCTATTTGGCATGATGACTATTTTGCCATGTTTTGAGGATCCTCACCCCAATTTTTTTTTAAATGTTAGCCACTAGAGGGTGCGGGGGGGGGGCTTTTTCAGTAACTGGTCTTTTTTAGCAGTGAGCCTTTGTTCCAAAACCTAGGGATGAGCAACAGGACAGCTGGAGGTTGCCCACTTTTGACCATGATTCAGAACAGGGCAACTTGCTGTAGCCCAGTCACAATGCTTCCTTTCCAGCACTGGCTCCAACTATGATGGCTTCCAGTGACAAGCTTCCTCTGTTGGTAACAACAATGGAAGGGCTGCTCTCAGTCATTTCGACTCTTATGAAAAAGGCCAGGTCATAAAACAAAGAGCAGGCTGTATGTAAAACCTACTGAATTCAGGTATTCAAGTCACTTTCTGCTGTTTTCTCCTTGGCTAGAGCAAAAGGGCAGCTAATTACTGCTTCAGCACATGACCTACTCTCTTTATTGCCAAAAGGAAGGGTTCCACTTGGTCAACCAGGAAGGAGTGCAGATTCTCACCCTGCTACGAATTGCTCACCACTGAGACATTGAGTAACATTTATGAGACACACTTATCATGCCAGAAGCACACTGTTCTTCCTAAGACATATGTAGGATGACTAGGCAGCCCTTTGCGCATACAGTCTGGCCTGCCCACACCCCTTTCTGGCACCACACAAGTAATCCCTGCCTTCAAGCTCTCACCTTTACAGTTGCTTTGTAGAGGAAGGCAAAATTACCTGTTTGACTGGTGTGCCTATTGGCCTTCATACAGAACTCACATTGGCAGAATCAAATCCCTCAAAGCATCAGGTGATGATGCTTTGAAGGAGGAATTGCTTCATACTCTGCATAAACCAGTACTTGTCCTCTGCAAAGGGACAGAGGTGAAGATGTGTGCAGAGACCTGACATTCTCCTGCAGTGGAGGGCACAACAGCAGCAATTTAAGGCACACAACAAGAGTGTCAGCAGGAAGTGCTAAGTGGGGCAATGCCTCCCTCTTGATCAATCAAACCAGAGGCTCCTGGGTCCATTCTAGGGAGCACAGCAGCATCTCTGAGTGTGTAGATGTCCTGATACTACTATTCAAAAAACATCTTCATGCAATATCATAAGCAAACACAATAAGGTAGTTAAGACCGTAAGGTGTAAGCAGTCTACAAACTGCTGGAAATCAGACATGCGCAGATTTGACTTTCTGACCACAATTCCTGAAGCAACCATAGTTACATTGTCTGGGGAATTTCTGGGGGCTGTAATCTAAAAGCACAAATCCACACACTTTTACTGGAAAGTCCTGGCCAGGGAGGGGGGACCCTGTAGGGTCTGCAGGGAACATAAAGAAAGACTCTTATTGCAGCAACCTGTTAATAAAAACATTTATTTTGCAGTTTGTACAGAACCACCTGAAATTTTGCAAACAGAATGCTGATGCTTACACAGCCGTTTACGCTGTGCCTTGAACTGAGATTGGGGGTTTCTTTCCTTTTCTTATGTGGTTATAGGACAGAAAATTTCACACGAACACACAGGAAAAAAAAATAAACATTGGTAGGAGTGTATGAAGTCCTTTCTAGAGAGGAAAGGATGCCAGGACACAGATGCCATGTTCTTCCCTGTCACTGCTCCTCAAACAGCAGCTAGCCAATTTAGGGTCACATGGCATCATCATCATCACAACAGCCATGATGGCAATGTTGCCAATACCACCTTTCATGTTTCAATACCACAATACTGACATTGAGGTTCACTCCTCCCCCCCCAAAAAAAATTTTAAAGAGTGTTGAGGAAGAGGAGAGGGAAAAATCACAAAACCATTTGCCTCAGCCATCCTGTTCCTCCTCCTGCACTGAGGCCTCCCAGGAAGGAACTGAGGTTCACTCCTCCCCCCCCCAAAAAAAATTAAAGGGTGTTGAGGAAGAGAAGAGGGAAAAATCACAAAATCATTTGCCTCAGCCATCCTGTTCCCCCTCCTGCACTGAGGCCTCCCAGGAAGGAACAAGGAGACCTATGTTCCTAGCAGCTCACTGCTTGAGGGAACAAAGCACCGCCTCAAATAAGGAGGAAGGTGTCAGTGTGCTTCTGTTCAAATCAGGAAGAAGGAAGGATGATGGAGGCTGTCTAGGGAAGAGAAGCATGCTAGCGCTGCCTCTTCTTTGGTAGAGGTGAACTGTCCTGGAGCTGAAGCCCTGCCTGTTTTAGCTTTTAAGAGCTTTTAACATCTCCCCTTTCTCTGTAACAGAAGAATATAAATAAAGGGGGATTTTTGAGGGGCAGGACCTTCTGTTCCTCGCCCCCAAACTGAAGCACTGAAAGGGTGTTGTTCGGCTGCAGAAGAACACCACTCCTGCCTAGAAACGAAAGGCCATACAAAGCAAGTACGTGATATGACATGATTATAAGAGGGGCAAGTCACCTCCGCTCCTGGCTTGCCAAAAAAAACAAAAAAAGGAAAAGGGAGGGGAAGGAGGCAATAAAAGAAGAAGAAACTGGGCTGGAAAGCAACACAGCCTCTAGCCTGGGGGCATCAGCTCAGGTTGGGAAGAAGGGCCTTAGGCCTGACATTCAAGGATCTAACGTTAAGTGATAATTTAAGGTAACGGGTGGGTGGAGGAATTAAGTATATAGCTTTTTCTGAATTTAATCCCATAAATAACCTGAAAAAATATGCGATGGTCAGTGCCTCTCAGGAAGGATCTTTTCAAGGCCCTTTGAACAAACACAACAGATTGTATTGTCTCTTATTATTCCCTCTGTCACTAAATCCTTGCCACATCCCTTGCTTTTTAAACAGACTTTGCGCCCACAAGCACCATCAGCCCATCCGTGCTCATGGATTTCGGTCTCTCCAGTGGGAAGCCGAGCGCCCGGCTCCAGATGACCTGCGCCAAGACGCCAAGGGCTCGAGACACACCAAAGAGCACAGTGTAGTAGTTCATCTCCTTCATGCCATAGTACTGTGGAGAGGAAAGAAAGAAAGAAAAATGAGAGGGTGGGGGCAGTAATGCTAGTGGTTAGAGGACTGCAAAGGAAAGCAAGACCCTTTCCCCAAAGGTGTTCTGGGAGAACACACCTCCCCTATCCACCCTGCTTCGTTTACCCACAGTCACGCTCTTCGGGATCATCTCCTCTTTTGCCGAAATTAACCCACTTTCATATCAAGACCACTGCAATCCCAAAGGTCAACATGCCCACAGATACACCCACACCCACCCCAGCCCTATTTCTATCAAGAAAATGATAGAAATGTCCTTTTATTTACTTTATTACCATCAACAGATCAGATGTAATGATAGAAATACATTTAAGTCTGCAACAGCCCAGTTATACTAGACAGGCTCCCCTGGAGCCCCACATAAAAGTAACTTGCAATGCCTCACAAAAAAGTTCTCCATTTTTTCCCTTATTTTGGGAAAATTGTAGAATTGTATTGGGGTTATCACGTGCGCCATGAAGAGCATTTTTTTTCTTAGGGGTGGTGGTGGTGTAGGGATAGCATTTGTGCATTTCAAGAACTTTCACCTACAGAATTCACCTGGAATCTCCCCCAGGCAGAATTCTAGGAAAATACAAATAACCAACAAAGGAGAGGTTTCCCCGGGGCCTGTTTCCAGGATAGGAGGAGGAGGGAGGGAGGGAGGCCTCCTGCCTCTAGGGGGCAGTAGAGCAAGGCTGCCTGTTTCTTGTGCTCTCCCAACTCCCAGAATTCTGCCCAGAAGGGAGGTTTCCAGGTGAATTGTGGAGATTGAAGTCCTTGAAGTATGAAAATCCCACCCTTATTCATTTTGTATACAAGATAGAGCAGGAAAACCAGCCAATCCCACTAAAAGCGAAAGTTCACTCTATAGCAGAAGCATGGCCCAAAAGATGCTGGACCACAATTCCTAGCATCCATCATCATCGACCCTGCTGGGAACTACAGTCCAGCATCATCTCGTGGTTGGGGCGCTACCCACTCCTGATTTACAGGCATGGTGGTGCCTCATGTCCTGCTCCTAGGCTTCCCAGAAAAATTGGGACTAGCCTCAATCCAAACCACCAGTATAATTTTTTTCTAATTAGTGTTAAAACAAAGTGCCACAGACGGGGAGATTTTAAAAACCTGACCTGAACAAAAAGGCTCCATATCTGAAAAACCCCAAATGTGGTTCTTACACATAAGCTACATCCTGTGGAAGGGTTACATTTTATTTATTTATATTCTATTTCCGCTATTGTTCAATTCCCAGGAGACAGAAGCAAGATGTAGATTTCAGTCAATTTCTCTGCCTCTGAAAGATTCCAAGTCAATATGGGAGACAGACACACTTCATTGTTTGGTCTGGTCTGCGTTCAGATCTGAAATGCTCCTCCAGCTCCTAAACAAAGCCGGGTCTGTCGTGAGAGGAGCTCAGCTTCACCCTCAAACGAGTGCCTGCAGGGCTTGAGAGCAGCCGCCAGAGGGTGATCCATACCACGGCCGACAGGCTCCGGGTTCTGCAGATGCTGTTTTCAGGCTGCTGTTCTGTGGAGGCTTAACTCAAAGCTCCAGCAAGCAACTGGATGGAAACGGGAGCCAAATTTCCTCTCACACAAGCAGCCCCCTAAAAACTAATTTTTCTCCACAAGGCACAGCTAGAGAGAAATGCTGGACACCCCTCAGAAGACAGACACATTTAACTTGTGGCAAAACAAGAGGTACCTTAGAGATTAACAAACGTACTAAGGTCTACATTTTAGGGACTACGGCCAGACCGCTGAGCTATCCAGCAGTTCTTACAGTCACCAGATGCATAATATTCAAAATCCCAGGTAAATTATACATAGAGTTAAAGCTCAGCATCCCTCACAGCTAGAAGGGTTTGCAGACACAGTCGGGTCCGAGAGAAGTCAGATTCAGAAAGTATTGACCCCGACAATTATTAACACTGGCCCTACACCTAAATCTGCTGCCAATTAACACCAAGCAAAGCTCAGGGGCTTTCGCTGCCCACAAGCTGGGCACCCTTTCTAAGGCAGGTGCTGAGGAAAACACTGAGGCAGAACAGGGTTTCCTAGGAGCAGAAGCTTAACTGTCCTTGCAAGAAGCCACTGGAGAGGTAGCTGAGCCCCACATTTCTAGGACTTGACAAGATGGTTCGTTTTCAGGAAAGGCAAGCATGCTGGGTACTCACTGGGGCAGTCAAGGAAGATGTTTCAGGTGGGGCATGAAAACACCAGCGCTCGGCAAAGTTGCTTTTAATACAGTAAGAAAAGGAAGCTTGGCGCTCAGATCAATCCAGGGCCACCACCAGCACTCCAGGCACAGATTCCACCTTGCTGGGCCAATCCCGTAACTGCATCGAATGCTGGATGTACTGACACCGTTCAGCCAATATTTAAGTTTCAACATTGGGGAAACCCCCAACAGTAAGCGGAGGAGCAAGTGAGTGGCCAGATATGGCAAGCTCATGGAGGAAGAGCCAGGGCTAATGTACAGATAGCCCACTCAGCGGTAGGCAAAGTCCACCTCATCATCATCAGCTGCTCTTCCTCTGCTGGGTCCCTGATAACAAGGCAGAAGATCTCTCTAGAGAGAAAAGCCGAACAGCACAGCAACACTGGCAGCAAACCAGTGGCAACACTTATACCCTTACAATGAAATTCGGGGGGCTGGTTTTTCCCCTTCTGGGATGCTGACCTTTAACTCACAACCAGTGAGTCCCGGAAGCCAAACAGTCCTAGAACTACCGGCTTGTATTCAAGGAGCACATGGGAAACGCTGCCATGGGCTGCTTCGAGGTACATGCACTACCGGAAGAAACCAAAGGGTGGCAAGACCCAGGCCCCGGGACCCGCCTTAACTCAGGTGGTACAGAACTCCTGGTCCTCCCCCTCGGCATGTGGTCTCCAGGCGGGCAGGGCAAGCAGCCACTCACCTGGAGCAGGACCCCACTGTGCGCATCCACGTTGGGCCAGGGGTTCTTTGCCTTGCCTTGCTCCAGCAGCACGTTCGGGACAATCTTGTACAGCTGGGCCACCAGCTTGAAAAGGGGATCTTTGGGAAGGTGCTTGAGGGCAAACTCCCTCTGGCAGGTGTAGCGGGGGTCCGTCTTCCTTAGCACGGCATGGCCATAGCCCGGAACCACCTGCAACACAAGGCCCGGTGAGAGGCTTGATGATGGCACCTGCTGGTGGGGGGCCCGGCAGGGCCAGAGGGAGCACTCCCTGCCCTTCGAGAGCCATCCCTTGCCAGAAGGTCTGAACACCGCCCAGTGAGCTGAGTTGTGGTTTACAAACACAAAACACACACACACACTCTTCCCATTAACTCTCTTCAATATTTGTAACAAGAACTGGACAGGAACCCCCAGAAGAGTCTTAACGCTCAGGAAGCGAAAATGGTCATTGCTATGAATGTACACAAATTGCCTCTGAAATCCAGTGATCTCTGGACTTCTCTGCCACCCAATCCATCTCCTGCTTCACTTCATCCAGACCACGGTCTCAGCGCTGATTCCCCAACTCCCAAAAACTCAGTGGCTCCATAGCTTGAATGAGCATTGCGCAACATGTTTTCTCCTCCTGCCGCTGCTGCCAACTTCCAGTTTCCTACTTCTATGCCAATGGGAACCATCACCCCACTAACCAGTAACCAAACTCTTTTCTTCAGCTAATTTGCAGATTCCGCTTTCTAGGCATTGTTGCATAAGAACTGGGAGTCATTCGCCTGCCCCAAATTGTTCGTCAATTTTGGCTACTCCTGTCATCGCATAACCAGGGTGGTAAACAGAGGGACAGATATTATTTTCTGATAACGGGACTCAAAAGTGTTCCCTAGAAGGGGCTTATTACACATGGAGCAAAACAGGGCAGGAAAATGAGCATCAGGACTAGGCCATACACCAAAGTTCCACGGCTGAGCAACAAAGAAAGAATGTGGAGTTGCAAGCAGAGAGAGAGAGAGAGAGAGCTGTGGTCACGGGGGAAGAAGAGGATGCAATCTGATGCTTCCAGATAAATGCAGGAACAAAAATTCCAATAATGTCACAGCTTCAGTGCCCGTATTCCTCCTCTCCAGCTTTATAAACCAAATGAGATTAGATAAAGGAATGGCAAATTGTACACAGATTAATAGTTTGTGTAGGATATGGGTCAATATTTGTCTCAGAACACGGTGCACCTTGGTATAAACATTTTTCGTTTGGCTGACATGCATCCCTGATTTATTTATTTATCGTCATTGTAAGTATATACACAGTATACCCTTACAATGAAATTCACAGACACCCAGAGACCAGACACATGCACACACATAAAATTCCCCAAACACTCCCCACCCACTAAAAGTCCCCACTAAAAATACAAACATCTACACCGCAGGCCAAGTAACACAGTCCAACTAACTATTCACTACTGGTGGTCTAGGATCCTAATATCATTGATCTAGCTTGGGAAGTTCAAGGCTCTTTTGCAAAGCTCGTTCTCCTGCTCTCCCAGTCACATCATCTCCCCCAGTCTCCAGGCTGCCAAATGTTCCAAAACATTGCAAGGCACAGAGAGAACTGTCTTACCCCCCCAAGCCACAGTTTCCAACCAGGTAGGCAAATACCGTCTCCTCCGATGGGTGGTAGCTTTCCAGCAGAGAGAGAGAGAGACAGTCTTTTCTCATTAGCTACAACCTGATCAAAGTAGGTGCTCCACCTATCACTGGGCTATGACCTCACGCCATTTCCAAAGGGACTTTGCTTGATAAAACTTGGCAAACTCTGCAGAGCAAATCACTGTGTTCTTGCAATGACAACTTTCCACAGTGGCCCCATGAGGCTAGGACAGCAACTCTTACCCTGCCAGAGTTCAAGGTGTTCCAGATGAAATCCCTCAGTTTTTGGTCAGACACGTCCTCTCCCAGCTCCTTCTGCAAGTTTGTCAGCCATACCAGCACTTCCTGCAAAAAACCCAGGAGATTTGCCAATGCTGATAGCCGAGAAAAAGAGGGCGCTCCTCAAACACACCCCTTTAAGCAGCCCCAGGTTCCCTGGCATGGTCAGGGAAGGCTGTCTTCCCTACCTGATTCGCAAGACCATGGAGTGGGCCAGCCAGACCATTCATGGCTGCAGCAAAAGACAGGTAAGGGTCCGAGAGGGCACTGCCCACTAGATGGCAAGTGTGGGCACTGACATTCCCTCCCTCGTGGTCACTATGGAAAGAGAAAAGGAGGCAAATCACTATTTGCACTATACAATACGCCGAAACAAAGATCTGCATATATTTGGAGCATTATAACTAATAAATTAAGACCCATTAACATTTCCCCTGAACAGGAAGGTAGGGGAGTGTTACTCCATGTATATAAAAGCACTTCCAATTAATTAATTCCATGCCCCAAATGTTATATTTCATACTTTATATTCACTGTTCCCTAGTAATACTGAACAGTTCTCCTTCCCACCCTCTCTCATCATGATCCAGTCTACACTGTTTCTAACTGTACATCTGAAATGCAATACAGTAGGACCCCTGTATCTGCAGCGGATCGGTTCCAAGCCCACCCCTACAAATGCTGAAAACTGTGGATAATAGCAAATACTACACATAGCATAGTCCCTGGCTCCCTCTAGTGGCCAGTTCTGATAGTGACATCAGAGAAATATAGTACACATTTCTGGGATTAAAAAAAAATTAAATATTTTTTAGATTGCACATAAGTGAAAGGGCAGATACAGTGTCCTTCTGTACATTAACTGCAGACACATGTTCAAAAAGACAGATTATCCTGAGACAAGTAAACTGAGAGGGAAACCATGTATACTCAATGGCAACCCTAGATTTTGTTCTACATGGGCAGAACGGCCCCCTCCTTCATTGTCAAAGAGGCACTTTTGCTTGAGAGATTTCACATTATATTTCAGATGTAAGTTTACTAGCCAGAACTGAAGTCTCGTTTCAGATGAGACAGGCACCAAGCAATAGTTTTATGTTTAAAAAATACACTGAACACTTGGGGACATCTCTAAGCAAGCTGAAAGGAACATTTTCAGCACCAGCCCAAGGGGCAGCAGCTACAACCCATTAGCTTCCAGGCAGAAAAAAAATGGAGTTGACATTAACGGCCACTAGATGGAGCTCCATACAAACCCAGGAAGGAGCCTGGCAGGAAAGCTTTTGCTTAACACAGCCAGGGTTTCGAGCAAGAGGCGTGCTTGATTCTGCTGCTCAAGATCCTTTCGCCTAGTATGCAGTGGGGGTGAAATCCAGGGCTTTACAAATGAGCGGAGGTGCCTCCTCAAGAGTGTTCTCCCCATCTCAAAAACCTTTGGGCAACACTCACTACTTGAGTTCTAGGCTTACGGGCAAAAGAGCGCTCGCTCGCTCTCGCTCCCACAACCCCCACACACCAAGGCTATAATCATTGTTTTCAACTTTAGGCAAAAGAGCGCTCGCTTTCGCTCCCACAAACCAAGGCTATAATCATTGTTTTCAACTTTAAGTACTGACTTTCATTGCTGGGTGCCATCTTGGGTCCTTTTTAAGGAGAAAGAAGTATTGACTTTCATTGCTGGGTGCCACCTTGGGTCCTTTTTAAGGAGAAAGATGGAGTAAAAACGTTTAAAATAAACAAATAAAATAAAATAATAAAGATTGTCCAATGCATCTTTTGACAGCCACCCTGCGTGCCCCATTCCACCTAGTGGAGTCAGCTCTCGACACAAGCGGTGCAGGGAACGTATAAGAAGTGTGTGTGTGTGTGTGTATCAAATCATGTTCCACCTGGAATCCACTTGAGAGAGAGAGAGAGAGAGTCTCGAAGAGAACATCCTGCACTCAGTAACTCTACTGTGACAGGCAAAGCACAGCTGAGTGCTCCACAACGCATCAAAACAGCACCAAAGACCTGGCTCTTCCACCAGGCTTTCCCAGAATATTAAGATCTCAGCCTCTCTTTTACCATCCTTTTTGCCATCCTCTACATCACTCCATTTTTACCACCTTCATTACCATCTGTTTTAATTTACCCTATCTGGTTATGTATAAATTTATTTCTTATTGTGTTTTAATGTTGTTGCTGATACGGTTGTTAGCCACCCGGAGTGGCCTGGTTGCCAGACAGTGCGGGATATAAATTCAATCAATCAATCAATCAGCAGCCGGAGGACGGGGCTTTGCCTATCCTTCTAGAACAGGGGCTCCCAACCTTGGGTAACCCAGGTATTCTTGGGCAGCAACGTCACCGCTGTGCTGTGCAGGCAAGGCCTTCTGGAAGATGCTGTCCAAGACGCTCGGGGTTACCCGAGGTTGGGAACCCCTGTTCTAGAAGGTGGCGAGATGGGGCTCTGCTAAGGTGGAGAGCCAATGTGAGGTACAGAGATGAAAAAGGACTTGCTCACACAAAGATATTAAGATCTCAGCCTCTCTTTTACCATCCTTTTTGCCATCCTCTACATCACCCCATTTTTACCACCTTCATTGCCATCTGTTTTAATTTACCCTATCTGGTTATGTATAAATTTATTTCTTATTGTGTTTTAATGTTGTTGCTGATACGGTTGTTAGCCACCCGGAGTGGCCTGGTTGCCAGACAGTGCGGGATATAAATTCAATCAATCAATCAATCAGCAGCCGGAGGACGGGGCTTTGCCTATCCTTCTAGAACAGGGGCTCCCAACCTTGGGTAACCCAGGTATTCTTGGGCAGCAACGTCACCGCTGTGCTGTGCGGGGAAGGCCTTCTGGAAGATGCTGTCCAAGACACTCGGGGTTACCCGAGGTTGGGAACCCATTCTAGAAGGTGTCGAGACGGGGCTCTGCTAAGGTGGAGAGCCGATGTGAGGTACAGAGATGAAAAAGGACTTGCTCACACAAAGGTTCCCATGCGCAGATGAAGCAGACCCACACCCACACCCACCAGGCAAAGACACTTTCTGCTTCCTTCCCCTCTATAGTAAGGAACCAGAGAAAGTATATCCAAAAAAATGGCTCCATGGTTGCGGGAGGAGCAAGACAAGGGCAGAGATACGGAGCCTCCGCCCTCTCTGCCCCTACTTTCTCTATGCCTGGTGAATTTATGACCTGCGCAAGAGCTCCGTTTCCTGCACCTACTCATTAAGCCAAGACGGGCGTTGATACCAGCAAAGCCACCCATGGGGGCCCTCCGAGCCAACCCCTGAGGGCACGGAGGCGTGCGCTGCCCCCATGCCTGGCCTGTCAGGTCAAGTCCCTTCTTCCTCCATGGGTCCGATTCGCAAAGGCGGCAACGCCACAACTGCAGACGTGGCAGCCCTTCGGGGGCTTCAAGATGCACGACGCGACTTGCCTGTGAATAGTGAGGTAGAGTCTCATCAGTTCAATGAACTGGGGGTCAGTGTAGCCCAGCATGTTGGTGAAGTTGTGCGCCCAGTCTAAGGCAGGGTCAATGGCGCCGATGCTACTCCCCTCGCGGTACAGGTTGCGGTAGATCTTTGCAGCGATACAGGGCAGCTTGGCAATCAAGTCCATGGAGTCCTCGTAGATAAACTGTAAGACAAAGGAGAGCGAAAGGCAAGAGGAAGGTGAGGCATCACTCATGACGGTCTCTCTACTTCCATCTCCAGGTACACCACCTGTCCACTGGCTCCCAGAGGATGCCTGGCTGTCCACAGAAAGAGTGACGAGGGAGGAGGAGGAGGAATGTGACAAGCTGCTGGCTCTCTCATAATTGGGTGGGAGAGAAGACCTTCCACCACAGCTTGGCACCTCCTGCAGGCTCAGAAGTCAAAACAGGAAGCAGTGCTAAGAACTTCCCTTTCTGTGTCGATAGTCAGAGGGACCGACTTCTACCACTAGATCCGCCCGTCACAGATTTCTACTGCTGGGCCAACAGAGCAGACCCATCGAATCAACTGGATTCATGGAAGGATGGACTCAACAGTCAGCAAGTAAACCAATGAGTCTAGTTTAGCAGGGACCTGCAAGCAGATTCAGGCTGCTGCTTTTAAATAAAACAAGGAGGTTGCTTTGAGGGCTTCAGAAAGCCACAAGGAACGTGCAAAAAGACCCCTTTTGACAAGACCCACCCACTCCCACACACACACACGCCCCTTCTCTCACAGACTGAGTCCATACTCTTGCACAGTATTACCACAGAGCCGTTAGTCTAGGCAGCTGCATCAACCCTTCCTTGTCTCCCAGTGGGCACCACCAACTTATAAAATGTTACGGCACACTTCACTTCCATGGTGTATGGAACTGGTGCAAAAATCTCTCTCTCACACACACATGCACCCATGGAGCTATAAGTTACAGCAGTCATGTCTGGCAAGTGACACCCTGCTTGGGTTGTCAGGGGGTTTCTCAAACCAGCAGCCCTTGACCATGGAGCTGTAAGTTACAGCAGTCATGTCTGGCAAGCGACACCCTGCTTGGGTTGCCAGGGGGTTTCTCAAACCAGCAGCCCTTGAGGAAGTCGGCAAGGCTGATCAAACCAGGCAAGCCGGGCAGGCCAAAACAGAGGGCCATCAGCCTGTTCGTAACCCTAGGACGCCGATAGTGGGGGTTTAGAGGCAGCCGTGGCGTAGAGAGGCAATATTTTACCATGCTTACCGTAGAGAGGGAAGATGAAAAGCCTCTCAACTGACAGAGATCAACAGGTAGTTTAGGCAGAGGTCAAGTGAGGCTGAGGGTGGGTATGTGTGTGTGTGTGTCTCCTCATTCCTCAGTGGCAATGGAATTTTGCTACACAAAAGACTAATTTTGCACACACCTAGAACTCATGCAGCACAGGAAAGACTTATTGTTTAAATATCCACAGCAGGGAAGAAACAATCCTGAATGTAGCCCTGTGTGGAGAACTACTATCCCCACATTAAAAAGAGAGAGAGAGAACAGAAAAAAGGAAAACAGACACTTCCACTCCAATACAGTTCCATTTATTTGTGCCCTGAGAATCACACTTAATAGCACTTAAAAGGCAAGGAGAAATGCAAGCACGTACAGAGGCAGAGTGCACTGGCAGCAAGCATCCTCTGAGGCGAATGTCCTCCGATTTGTGCAATACTGAATGCACTGGTGAAATCAGGGTTTGGGCATCCCTGTGATATACCATTACACCATGCTAATTTAAATTATCTATGAGTTTATCTTTGCAAATCTTTGTCCTGCTATTATCAAATGTTTTAAAAAATATTTTTTTTCCAAGTGAGGCTGAAGTGGCTAAGGAAGGGATTTATCATGCTCTGGGTTTCACTGTAAAGAAAAGTGTGCAATGAAGAGGGACCGTTACCTCCCCCCCCCACACACACACACACACAACAGAGCAACAACACACAAAAGACAGAGGCAGACAACTGTCCCCTCTGAAGGGAAGCTGCACATTTTTAAATGGTCAAGGATTAGATTGAAAGCGTCCTAGCTTTCTCAGTGATGCTCTAGCTCACTGGTTCTTAACCTTGGGTTACTCAGGAGTTTTGGACTGCAACTCCCAGAAGCCTTCACCACCAGCTGTCCTGACTGGGGTTTCTGGGAGTTGAGGTTCAAAAAGCATGGTGATATACCATTACACCATGCTAATTTAAATTATCTATGAGTTTATCTTTGCAAATCTTTGTCCTGCTGTTATCAAATGTTTTTTTTTAAAAAAATTTTCCAAATGAGGCTGAAGTGGCTAAGGAAGGGATTTATCACGCTCTGGGTTTCACTGAAAAGAAAAGTGTGCAATGAAGAGGGACCGTTACCCCCCCCACACACACACACACAAAACAGAGCAACAATGCACAAAAGACAGAGGCAGACAACTGTCCCCTCTGGAGGGAAGCTGCACATTTTGAAATGGTCAAGGATTAGATTGAAACCGTCCTAGCTTTCTCAGTGATGCTCTAGCTTTCCTCGCCCCCTGCAGATCTGGACACAAGGCCACCTTTTCAAGCAAGGAACGAAGGACCACTTTAGGTGACATTCCCAGAGCCGATTCCTTGCCCCCTGCAGATCTGGACACAAGGCAGCCTTTTCAAGCAAGGGACGAAAGACCACTTTAGGTGACATTCCCAGAGCCGAGTGGAACAGCAGACAAGGCAGAAAGGAACAACAACTAAGTGAAAGATACTGGCTAAACTGTAATTAACCAGGTCATGGGCCTTTGTCAAAAATATTCTGAATTCTACAAGAAAAATCACAGGTTGCAGCCAGAATAAGACTGGCTGAGTAATCGGTGTGATTCACCCCAACATGAAACCACCACCACAGGAGACGAGAGAGCACCAGGCAGTGAGTGGATGCTCACACCCACAAAGCCCTTGGCCGGCTGCTTCTAGCAATGGGGACTCCCATCCTCAGGATACAATGAGCACTTCCCATTCCAGCTCAGTAGGTAATGAAAGAGTACACACAGACCCCAACATCTCCAACAGAGTTCCTACATCTGCCACTGAAAATCCTCCACAAAGAGATCCCCAGCTTCCGTACGGCCACTGGGCAGGGACTGAGTAAGAGGTGATGGTTAATGGGCAGCAGCAACAGAAATACAAGCCCCCCCCTCCCTCTTTGCCCCCAAGCCCAGAGAGCTACAGGTCATGAGAGACCAAGGCCTGGCCAAGCCTTCCCTTCCTAGGAGCACTGGGGTTGTGCGCACACACACACACACACACACGCGAGAGACCAAGGCCTGGCCAAGTCTTCCCTTCCTAGGAGCGCTGGGGTTGTGCGCACACACACACAGTCAGGTCAGCCAGAGGTTTGTGCCATTGTGCTCGGAGTCTCGTGTTACCAGGGCAGCCACAGAGCTGGAGTCCCCCTCATGCCAAGACCCAAGGTCACCGAGCTGACCTCTTCCCTTCTTTATCATGTGTTAAGAGGCAGAAGGTCATCATGAAACCAAATTTGCTGGGCTGGCAGCGTTCAGTCAGGACTAGGCAAGCTTGGCAGGCAAGGCCTTTCTTCACACAACAACTGCCCCCTTTTTCTGAGGGAAGGCAGGCCCATGGCTCTTCCCTCCTGACCATTTTACCAGACTCTAGCATTAGCGGGTCAGGCCTGGAAGGGAGGGCGTTCAGCAGCCCTGGCACAGGGGCCTCGCTAGTGTCTCCTAGCTCTGCCCACCTTCCTATTCAGAAAGAATTTTCCCAGCTAGCACTGGGGCAGAAACAGGAAGCCTAAGCGAGGCCTAGCTAAGCTTCAAAGACTCCCAAGTTGAGGCTTTCCTCCCAGTTGAGCCACACTTAAAAGAAATTGTCTGGGGAGGCATGGCAGGCAGAGTTCTCAGCATGGAGAATGATGGGACTCGTGGCCTAAGAGGTCCAACGCTCTCATCCCTCGCAGCTCACCTAGACGAGACACCGAAGGAAAGGAAAGGGGACCAATGGTCCCCCCACGAAGCCTTCCGCTTCACACGCTTACCTCCCAGTACTTGGTCCGGCTGATTCCTTCAGAGTAGGCTCGGGCAAAAGTACTCTCACTGTTAAGGGCGGTGACAGCGGCACTGAGTTGTGACATGGGGTGAAGGTTGGTGGGGAAGTTGTCCAGCATGGTCACCACATGGGAAGGGAGGGCTGCTCTCTTGGCCCACTCTCGGGACACCCAGTTCACCTGGAGAAAGGAAGGATAAAGCAAAGCACGGCCACTCACCAAGTTTGCACCAGACTTTCCTGCCCTTTGCTCTCCCCTCCAGCCCGTGCCATGTCAGCGCACACACACACACCTCGTTCTTAAGACACACGACACGGTGGGTTTGCGAGGCCACCAAAGGGCAGCCTCCCAATCACCTTCCGGGATCCGATCCTGGGTGAAAGCCATGGACAGCCTTGGTCCCTCTCCTTACCTGTTCTTGTGTGGGGATCTCTCCTGTCACCAGCAACCAGAAGAGCCCCTCAGGCAGGGGCTCTTCACCTCCAGGGGCCTTGGGCAGCAGCTTCTGGCACTCGGGGATGCTGTAGCCACGGAAGCGTATGCCCTAAAGCCGGGGCCAGAACAGACAAGCAAAACCAAACAGTCAGATTTCAGCTTCTCAGGGGCAAGCTGCACAACCAGCCTGGCATGGCTGCATCGCTTGGGGCTGCTTACCTCATCAGGATCCAAGACGGAGGTCTCGTAGATTAGCCCTTTCATGCCTCTCATCCCACCATACAGCTGGGGACAGAAAGAACCAGTGAGACCGTCAGAGAATGACCCAGAGCACAAAAAGCGCTTGGCATACACACAAACCACCACCACTGCCACCACATTCCCCAGCATCTAATCTCTGGATCAAGGCAACTCGGATTGCAAAGAGCTACTTCTTCACATGCCCCGTCTTCACACACTTCTATACCCTCAGGCACAGGCTGTCCACACAGTAAGCTTCCCAAGCATATATGCACTCAGCAACACAAAACCACATTCCCCATCTGGCTCAGACCTAATGAAAAACTAGAATTTAAATAAAATGTAACCAGGCTTAGTATATCCATAAGCCACATACACACGCTTGGTCCAGCGCAACCCTACGGAGGAAGCTTATGCCTGCATTTTAGATTAACTGCTGCTTATCGCCACGTCCAAATCCTAAACTGTGGTTAATCTTAAACCACAGTGTGACATCGGCTTGTTTCTACTAAACACAGTTAAGACAAACTAAATGTTGTCAGTTTCAAATAACACAGACACTGAAGCTGATCTAAAAGAGAAGTAAAGCTTTCAATCTCCTGTGTGTGACCGTGCCGGAGTCCAGGAACAACACATGGCCCTAGGGATGATTGAGGCTTGTGCTGAATGGCAGCATAACATCTGAACTAGACCATGGGCTACATGTTATTTCCTATCTGAACTGCTCTCTCTTATTCTCCATGTATTTATATAACCAGTCACGTAGTACATGTGCTTGAGAGCAAATATCCTTAACAATCACTGTTACCTTTTTAGAGCTGAAAATGTCGAACTCACTATGGTATGAAACATTTGAGAGAGACTGGGGTGGGGGGACCTGTGTGCAACAGTAATTTGCCCCTAACCCAGCTGTCGTCCCACTGCTTCACCCCAGCAGTTCTCTCTCCACTCAGTTTGTGATCTAAGTTTGAGCACATTCAAAAAACTTGCAACAACCAGAACCATTCACACTTTGCACTGTTTTCTTGATTTGCATAATATCCCGGTCCTCAGTACCAGGGTACTATGCCAGAGATTTGTTCCCAAGGCCCTGTTTTTTGGCTGCTGGGTAGCTTTTTTCTACCCTCTCTGGCACCCCTTTAGACAATCCAGAGCAGGAGGCACACAGAAAAATCCCACAAGTGGTTTGCTTTGTCTTTGATTTAATTTCCTCTCCCTTTCCTCTTCTGCTTCTTTCTAAAGAACAGTGGCCTCAACTGAGTTGAAAAAAAAAGAGAGAAAAGAGCCCTTTTCAATGAATGCCACAGCTCAGATTTCCAGCTGGCCCTTAAATAAAAAGCCCTGCTTGCCCGTTTGCAACGCAAATGTAGGGAGAAAGCAAAAATTGCTTTCCCCCTGCATTTTCTTTGCAAAACCTGGAGGTGGAAAGCTGCTTTTTGAATCAAAAATGTTGCATTTTCTTGCAAAGAAAGAATTTTTGATTTAGAAAAGTGGGGGGGGGGCGAAAATGTTGTATTTTCTTGCAAAGAAATAAATTTTGATTTAGAAAAGTGGGGGTGGGTGTTTTATACATGGGGCATCTTATACAAAGAAAAATATGCTAATTCATTTAATCCGTACTTCTTATCCATTCAGACTAACAGCAGCTCTCCAAAATGCCAGTGAGAGGCCCTTTCTGTTCTTGCTTCTTCACAACATTCGACGTAAGGACAGAGTCTAGAGTTCTTAGGCAAACCCTTCGACCTGGCAGTGAACAGTATCCTTCCTCCCCCCACACACTCCAATGTCCTTCTGAAAATGTGCTCTAAATATGCTAATTCATTTAATCCGTACTTCTTATCCATTCAGACTAATAGCAGCTCTCCCAAATGCCAGTGAGAGGCCCTTTCTGTTCTTGCTTCTTCACAACATTCGACGTAAGGACAGAGTCTAGAGTTCTTAGGCAAACCCTTCGACCTGGCAGTGAACAGTATCCTTCCCCGCCCCCCTCCAATGTCCTTCTGAAAATGTGCTCTAATGTCACAAAAACCTTCTCACTCCTTTGCCTACATTTCAACTTAGCATACCACCTAAAAGCGGTCCCAAAGATAGGCCTGTGGAAGAGACAGGAAAAGTGCCTCTGGAAAGGCAACTTCCAGGTTTAAGGCACTGTGGGGTTTTGCTGATGTTGCCCGAACGCACCCCAGGGATCCCTGGCGTTTCCTTGTCACTGTTGGCCTTTTGCCAGCTGGCAGCACAAGGAGGCACAGCACAGAGGGGGGCTTTGCGGTTCCTTCAGTCTGCACACAAGGGGCTTAAATCTCATGCAGGAACCGAGAACCATGGCTTTTACATCCCGATGTGCTCTCGTGCCCCGACTCTTAAGATTACACCACTCACCATATCCACAGTGATCTGGCCAATGACGGTGCTGCCATACTGCTGCCTGAAGTTTTTCAATCTTGCTTGCTCCTTGGGGATCATGTTTGCAAGAACATCTTTCAGGTTCTGAAAACACAAAGGATGGAGACTGATCACACACAAACTGTGACATTAATGTCAGTGACTCACACCCAGGAAAAAGAGAAGGTAAAAGGGAAGATGGCATCAAATTCTCTGCTGAAGTGTAGATGAGACAATGTGAGACACTGGCTGACCTATTCATGCTATCGCGGTCTTCTGGGTTTAGCTAGGGGACTCACACAGCTAAAACTCACCCCCCCTGCACAATACACAAGGAGTTAAAAGAACTACTTACCGTGGAAGCGCTGGCATTTGTGGGTTTAGCTAAGGGGTTAACACAGCCAAACTCATCCCCCTGCACAATACACAAGGAGGTAAAGAACTACTTACCGTGGAAGCGCTGGCATGTCTAGCAGCAAAGATGATACATGATGAATTCTGGAAAAACCCAAAAAAACAAATACCTTCTTCAACATGGCTAACTTCATAGAAAAACAACAACAACAATAGCGTGTCCACATGTGTTTAATAAAAATTTCCCCTCCCATACATATCATTGTTATTCACTCCTAAAAGATATCCCATCTTCTGGACCACGGAAGATACCCATGGCTTCTGGACCACGGAAGATACCCATCCATGTCAGGCAAGTGAAGTCTGCTGAAGGACACCACCTGTATTTTCACAGCATACTCTACTCAGAAGGGCGGGGGGGTGTTCAGAAAAACGCAGATGACGCGTTCTCCAAGGCAGCCTCGGCAACAAGCATGCAGAAGCACATCTTGCAATCTCTATGGTACACAGAACCATTTCTGCTTGCAGTGGATGTGGGAAACTCCAGCTTTCTTCCATCCCGCTGATCAACCAGGCTCAAAGCAAAATTGAAGTTTTACCACAGAGCAACTTTAGCTTTAAACCAGGGGTTAAAAACTTTCTGTTTCCCAGATGTCATTTTAAAATGCTGGTTCCTATTTCTTTCAGTACAGGAAACAAGGCATTTTTCCCCACCCCCTCCTGCCTCCAGCTGCCAACCCCTCTCACAAATGCATCCTCCCACTTATGTGCAATTTTTCTACTGCTTCAAAAGCCCATAGTGTGTGTCATACCGCATGACGTCCAGCATCAGCTGCCCAAGAGTTCTGGTCAACAGCCCATCCCTCAAACCTTCATTATGAGTCACTCTCATCTGGGAAAGCAAAGTGCCCTCCAAGTTTCACAGTCCAGTCATCTGGCCAGTTTAGCAGCACTGGATACCTGCCAGCTGCTGAGTTCCAACCTAGGTCTGCCAACACCGGAAGTGCCCTTCTGCAGTCTTATCCCAGCTTTCCTTTCGAGAGGTGCAGGAGACAATACTAGATGGGCCAGCCCTGAAATGGGCCAACCAGATAGTCATAATAAACATTATTCAAAACCCTCTAGCTGCACTTGATGATCCACTAGCCAGGCTCTGACAGCAAAGATTCAGAATACTAACTGTCCCCCTGTGTAAAATGACTCAACTCCCTGTGAAAGTGCTCCCAGATCGCGTCCCAAGAGGTGTGCCTTCTATGGTTTCATGAAAGGGCAGGAATAAGTGATGTGGAAGCACATGCACATTTTGTGGAATTTAAGTCATTTATACAAATCCAGATTTTTTTTTCTTCTTCTTGCTGGATTTTGGTCACCATGATTTCATACTCAGCTTTCTTAGTTTCAAAGGGAGATACATATACAAATAAAGCATCCGTGGTCTTCAGCCAAAATTTATGGAGGAACCAAGGAAAAGAAGAAGTGTTCCAAAAGTTTACAGCTCTCTTCTGCTGCTGCCCCTTTGGATCCATCAGGAAGCCAAAGCATCCTAGTAAGCATCCAAATTAAAAGTTCGGCCCGTTTCCCAAAGCGCTGCCCTTAAACTCACCCACTGCTAACGATTCCCTGCTCTTCCCTTGCGGAGGCTTCTTCTGAGCACCCCTGAGTTCCTTCTTGCTAGCTTCCCCTTCATCTCATCCCCACACTTGCCTCTTTCGGGCAGTGTATGGACACAAGCCCTTCCTCTTCCACAGCCCAGGCTGCTGCTGAACTACTCAGCTCAACGCATACACCCCTCCAACTGCACAAAGACATCCTGCCCCAGAGATCGTGAAGAGCCAGCCCCATTCAGAAGCTGTCCTCACGCATTAGGCCTCCCTAAAAAAGATGGGGAGTTGCGCCAACCACAACTCTCAAAGAGAGAGAGATCCAGGGTTCAGATTTAAGAATATTACAGAACCTACGGAACTGCTAAAATGGTGGCTTTGTCACCGAAAGGCAGCCATACAGCTTAGCTTCAGCTTGCGAGAGAAAACCGCTTTGGTAACAGAGCAAGGTAAAGTCAGCCAGTGTTCAGAGGATAAGGTAACAGAACAAGGTAAAGTCAGCCAGTGTTCAGAGGATGCTCTGGGACTCGTGGTGTGGTTTCTAACACTGTCTCTAAGCAACAAGCGTCACATCTCCACTCTGGACCTAGAAGAACAACATGGGACCACTTCCCAACAGGAGGGCTTGGAGGAAAAGACAGAAAAAACCCACTGGAAAGTACACTAAAGGAGATCATTCATCACCATATTTCCAGGCAGACAGCTGTACTCTCTCAAGAATAGCAGCGGTGAGGGCTCAGATAAGTGCACACAAGCCGCCTGGGTATCTCCTGCAGGCATCTGGGCTCCCTAAATCTGAAAGCTCTTAAGATCATATTGTGATGGATTTCCATGCTAGCACAGCTTCAAGCAGAGTCTTCTCTTTATGTTTAGCGTTCAAATTAACTTTTTTCCTGATATCTTACAGCATCTGGAATCTAGCTGACTTATGGAACTCCCTTTTTAGGGAAATGAACAGGCTTGTAAACACGCAGATCAAAACAAGAATGGTTTTCCTCATTTTGGGCCACAAATGGTTACCTTGGACATGTGGGAATGTGGGCCAGCGAACATTTGTGGGCTAATAACCCGGGGACACCCTCTTCTTTCTGCAAGGCTGAATGTAAGTAATAAGAGCCAGGGTCTGTTCTAATATAATAGCCTTTGTAAAGCCTAAGATGACACACGTATGAGTTTCATAACATTGTGAAGTTCACTGCCTCCATGACAGATCAAGAATCCTGCTCACCAGCCTCCTGGTACTTAAAAGCATCATCCTGACACATAATTCTTTAGTAGTTTTCAATCTCTATTTTGCAACAGGAAGGTGGAGAGGGGGCAGGTTTCTCTGTAAAACAAAGTTTGTGTTTCTATGTTAAAAAAAACAGGCTTTGCAGTCCACTAGCAGCATTTCAAGGCCATATTGTACTACACACAACCCTGGGACACAAACAAGTTCCTTCAAGTTTCTGCTCAGGTCATGAATACAACCCAACTGTCAGTCACAAGGTTACAATATACACAAAGCAAATACTTTTGCCGTTGTTGTTTAGTCATTAAGTAATGTCCGACTCTTCGTGACTCCATGGACCAGAGCACGCCAGGCTCTCCTGTCTTCCGCTATCTCCCGGAGTTGGGTCAAATTCATGTTGGTGACTTCAATGACACTATCCACCCATCTCGTCCTCTGTCATCCCCTTCTCCTCTTGCCTTCACACTTTCCCAACATCAGGGGCTTTTCCAGTGAGTTTTCCCATGAGATGGCCAAAGTACTGGAGCCTCAGCTTCAGGATCTGTCCTTCCAGTGAGCATCAGGGTTGATTTCCTTCAAAATGGATAGCTTTGTTCTCTTTGCAGTCCAGGGGACTCTTAAGAGTCT